CCCCCACCTGTCTCTGTGAGTTTGTGTATTACAGACACTTGAGTTAATTCGTGTGAATGAGGGCACGCAGTATGTGATCTTCTGCCGCTGGCTCATTACACTTTGCATGAGGTCCACAGGGTGGGGGGTGGGGAGGGCAGCGGGAGTCCATACTTCATGCCTTGTCATGGCCGAATCCCGGCCAGTTTGACCCCGCCACACTCTCATCATCGCCTTGTCACTCGTTCAGTTGGATTTTAGTTCCAGACCGTGTGCGCGCATATATTCATTTTTGAAAGCCTCCCTGGGGACGGCGGGCGTGCATCCTCCATCTGGAATGCCGGGGTGTGGCCTGTGTGACCTGCCCTGGGCACTTGGGGATTCCGTTCTGGACGTGCGAAGAGCGTGGCACGTGGGCATGCATCGTGGGCACAGAAGGATTTGTCTCTGCCTGTCTGCCCCTTTGCGCGGGGCTCTTCCGAGGTGAACCCAGGGACCTCGGGGACTTTGCCTGACGGTTGCCGGCCACAGTGGCCCTGTGGTGGCCCCCACATTCTGCAGACGTGTCACGTATGTGGTTTGCTGTAAAATGCAGGCAGCCGGCGTCCTTATCCTCCGCGGCGAGCACAGACGTCAGGTTTATTTTTCAGCAAGTTCAAGCCCAGTGAATCCTACCTAATAGCTGTTTCGGGGGGTGGCAAGGGAGCACAGAATGGAAGTTTTCACGGCTGCTCTTTGTCTTACAGCTGCTTTCCCGGTAAGCACAGTCAATACCAAAGAGAAACTTTCTCTTGGCGAAGAAGCCGGCCAGGGGCTAAAAACCCAGCTGCTCTATGTGCCCAACCCAGACCTGTTTTTTCTGGGAAGTGTGGGTGTGGAGTGTGGTAGGACGAGGCGGAAGGGCACTTTGCAACGCAGTCTTCATTTACAGACGAGAAGTCACAAGATCTTCGTGGCGAAGCCCCCAGAGATGACCGTGCTTCAGAGAGTCTCACGGAACTGGTTCCTAGGAGGGTTTGTGGGAGTGAGACCAAGAAACCCACCCCATGGTAGCCGAGCCAGACCCCGGTACCTGTCCCTCCTCGGACCCTGCAGGGCGTTCATCAGAGTGGTTTTGCCTCCAGACTTTCTCGTAACACTCGATTCGGACGCAGTCCCTGTAGGGAGGGCACTTAGGGCGCTCCTCCAGTGGGTCAGAGTCCTTTTCTCGTTAGAGATCAGGAGGGTGTGATGATGCTAAGAGTACGGAACACGAAACTTAACCGTTTCCACCACTTGCAAGCATGTGACTCCGTGATGTTGACATTGGCATAGGGCGACCCCTAACGAACATCAGGACTTTTCTGGGTCCCCCTGAGCGGGCTCACACAGCGCCTGTCTTTCTGTGGTGGCGTGTTTCATGGCGCGTCACGTCCTCGAGGCCCATCCGTGTGGTAGCACGTGCCGGGCCGTCCTTCCTTTTTAAGGCTCACCGACATTCCCTCGTGTGGCTGGACCGCATTTTCATTATGCATTCACTTCCTCATGGACCTTTCAGTGGTTTCCACTTGGAGTGCGTAAGTGTTGAAAGGGAAAAACAAAATTGTGTCCTGAGAAATCGGAGACAGAATGAATTGTACGTTGTAAATGTACATTTCTGAAAACCACTCAAAATACAGGCCACGATGCCTGGGTGGCTCAGCCAGTGAAATATCTGCCTTCAGCTCAGGTCATGATCTCAGCGTCCTGGGATTCAAGCCTTACATCAGGTTCTCTGCTCAGTGAAAAGCCTGCTCCCACCCCCCCACACCCACTACATGCTCTCTCTTTCTCTCAAATAAAATCTTTTTTAAAAATTGCAAAAATTCAGCCTCTACCCGGGACCCGCTGAATCCGATATGCATTTTAAACCGTGGGAGATGCGTCTGCACATTACAGTTTGGGAAGTGTTGGTCTCTGAAGCCTAGAAAGGTCTTCGAGGCAGGAACTCCCATCTTGCAAGACCCGCCCCCTCCCCCGCCGCCCCATCTAGCCCAGTTGCTTGTGCGGAGGACTTACTCTCTAGATCGTTAGCAGAAGAATAAATACCAAGTCTGAACTCACCCACGTGGTGGCCTTTTTGCATTCACCCCACCAAAGCATTTAACTGCTAGTGTTTAGGCACCAGTTAGTACGCACAGACCCAAGTTACTCTCCGAATGCGTTCTCTTTATATTCTAGATTTTCGTTTGCCCGTCACATGCCTGGTGCTTGGCAGGCAGGGTGGGAGGAGATGAAAGGGATCTAGGCACTACTTGGACAGAGTCTGAACCCGCGGGTCCCAGCATGGGGGACTGGTGCTGCTGTCCCAGGTAGGGACCACAGCTGCTAAGCGCCCCCTGAGGGGTTCCCCCCCCACTAGGACTCTGGTGGTGCTGGTGGCAGTGGCTCCTGGGACGCTCACTCTTCCTCCTGTATCTCCTGCCCTTTGACATGGCCCCTTTTCTGCCAAAGCTCTAATTAGGTTTCCTTCCATGTGGTTCTCTGTCCGTGGTTCTGTCTCTGTCTAAGCAATGTTCTTCAGTCTCCCCTCCCCTCTCGTCCTTAAATACCTTCTGCTGGGGTCTCTCCATGTGTGCACCACCTGTCCCTGGGAGCCCTCCTCCCGCCACCAGCTGTCCACTGCACCCTCCACCTGGATGGCCCCTTGGCGTCTCCCAGGGGACGTGTCAAAAGCCAGGCTCTCCACTGCGTGTAACCTGCGCCTTGCCCGTACACGGCCGGGGCTGTAATCTTGGGTGGGTGGAAACTTCCTTACAATCTGTCTGTTACTACCTTGGGATAAAATTGTCTAGACTCTTGAAACCAGTTATTAACAAAAATATGAAGCAGTCCATTCGGTGAACAGTAGCCATTTAATTTTGTTTATGGTGTTGACTTGCAACGAATGATTGCTTGGTGAACCGAAGAGTTCGGCTGTCCTTGTATCCAGGTGGAGGTTTTAGGAAAATGCCGTGCACTTGCAGAAATGAGGCATTGTCGGTCGCAGTACCCGGCGGTTCAGCCGCACAGGGAAAACGCATTGCTCCAGCACGTGCGGAGGGCTGTGGAAGCAAGTCTAAGCTTAGGCGCGGCCAGCAGTCGACCAGTGAGCTGCTTGGCTCTACACAGATAGGCTTGTAACCATGAACTGTCTTCACTAGTTTTCCTAGCAGTTTGTAAAGAGAATAGTTTTTTGGTCTAAAACCAGGGTTGGCAAACTTCTCTTTTTTTTAACAAGCCAAGTAGTAAATACTTTAGGCTTTGTGGGCCAAAACACTCAATTCTGTCCTGTCACAGTATATAAACAAGTGGGTGTGGTGGTATTCCACTAAAATTTTATTTACTGGGGGGGAAAAAAAGGCAACTGGCTGGGTTTAGCTCATGGGCCCTAGTTTGCCAAGTGCTAATACAGAAAGCAGGCTGGGTTTGTTGTTGCTGAGTTGATGTTTACTATATAGGAAAAGCTAGGATTGGAGTGCCTGGGTGGCTCAGTCGTTACGTGTCTGCCTTTGGCTCAGGTCATGGTCCCAGGGTCCTGGGTTCGAGCCCCACATCAGGCTCTCTGCTCAGCTGGAAGCCTGCCTCTCCCTCTTCTTCTGCCTGTTTCTCCCCCTGCTTGTGCTCATTCTCTCAGTCAAATAAATGAAATCTTTAAAAAAAAGGAAAATCCTGATTTCTCAGGATTAAAGTTCTCAAACGGGCAACCTTGAAGCTTTGTGTGAGTCACTACATGTTCATACATACGTGTTTAGCACGGAGTCATGCAGAGCATGACATGATCTCATGAGGACTATAATCGATGGCTACGTGTTAGCAGGGATGTGGAGGAAGTGGAACGTTCAGACGCGGACAGCCGGTAAAATTGTGCCACGCTAGCGGACGGCCTGACCGCTCCCGCAGAGCTCGCCACGTGGGCCCTAGGAGCCAGCGGCTTCATTCCTGCATGTAGACCCACGGGAACTGACGACACACGCTCACCCAGAAGCTCGAGCACCCTGTTCACAGCAGCATACTAGCCAGAAAGGAAAAACTGCAGTGTCCAGACGCTGACGAACGGATAAGTCAGACGTGGCATTCTGTAGGACGGGATATCTGTCGTTCAGCCACAGAAAGGAGTCAAATCCTGACTGCTCCTAGCACGTGGATGAGCCTTGATGCTCTATGCTGAGTGAAAGAAGCCGGGCACAAATGCCACGTATCGTGGGAGTCTTTTTTATGATTTAATTTATTCCTGCAAGAGACAGTCAGCTAGCACGAGGGCCGGCGGGGGCATCAGAGGGAGAAGCACACTCCGTGCAGAGCCTGGAGAACCACACAGGACTCGATCCCAGGACTCTTGAGATCATGACCTGAGCCGAAGGCTGACGCTTAACCGACTGAGCCACCCAGGCACCCTGTAGGATTCTTTTTATATGAGCTGTCTATACAGGCACATGCATAGAGATGGGTGGTAGGTTGGTGGGTGCCAGGGCCAGAAGGGCTCAGGAAGTGACTGCCCACGGCTGCCAGGTTTCTTCCAGGCATAGGGAAGTGTTCTAAAATGGGACACGATGCTTGCACAGTTCTCTGAATATACGAATAGCTGTTCACTTGTATATTTATGTGGGGGAGCATTGCGGTTTTTCAATTCTTTATCAAGCAGGTACAGAAATCTAGGTGTGGGATTAACGTATGAGAAATAACAAGTAATGAAAGTAATCCATCCTTTCTGCTTGGATAGAAGAGATCCGGGGGCCGAACCTGTGTCTCTGGGTCTGCGGTTCCAGGCTATGAGCCTTCCCGAGCACGCCGGCTCTTTCCCCTTCCCCCTGCGAATGTTAGCCCGGGGAGAGGGGTGAGTCCCTTCTTTCCCCAGGTAGGAATCACTGCAGCGTCAGGGGCCCAGGAGGGGTCCGGGCTGATCCCAAAGCCCATCATAGATCCTGTGGGTCCCCCGCATCACCTCTGTGTTGTTTCTGGCTGAGTTCTGGGCACTCGGTTTGCACATTTGGAAGCTCACAAGACGTGCTTCTCTGCCGCAGGTTGAAGAAGGAAGTAAAGCAGCGGCGGTGGACAAGCTGCTGGCGGGGGACGAGATCGTCGGCATCAACGACATCGATCTCTCGGGCTTTAGACAGGAGGCAATTTGCCTGGTGAAGGGCTCTCATAAAACCCTGAAGCTCATAGTGAAAAGGTAAGACCCGCGGCTCGTGCCGTCTTTACAGACAGAAGTGGGTGAAGGAGCAGCCTGTGCAGCCGGCGTGGCCCGTCCGTATCCCCGCACGCAGTCCCAGCTTGGGCTTGATTGTGTCTGTGTGTCTGTGTGTCTGTGTACACATAGAATTATATCTCTTGACCAAGGATGAATCCAGCGTCAGAATCTCAAAAGATGCCTTCTTGTATTCCTAGGGGTTGTTCATCTGATTTATGAAGTGAATTTTGAAGGATTTTATCTTTTCTTCCACAATATCGTAGAGCAGCAGAGCGCTACGCCTGTGTTCCAGACGAAGTATTGTTCCTGTCGTTTCCACAAGGTGGCAGGCTGCTGCGTTTTCGTTTTTTTATGCTAAAATAAAGCCTAACTGCACACAGAGGGAGTTTCCAGCGCTGGGCTGAGGTCTGGGGAGTGAGCAAGCTGCCTGTTCCTACAAATCAGATGGCGATGGAAGTTTGCAGGACTTGGGCATCTGCCTTCGGCTCAGGTCATCATCCCATGGTCCTGGGTTCAAGCCCCACATCAGGCTGCCTGCTCAGCAGGAGGCATGCTTCTCCTTCTCCCATTCCCTCTCCTTGTGTTCCCTCTCTCGCCTTGTCTCTCTCTGTCAGAGTCTTAAAAAAAGAAAAACTTGATAATCTTCCTTAAAAAAAAAAAAAAGAGGGTGGAAAAGGGGAATTAGGAATGTGATGCTTTCAGACATGGGAGCTCCAGCAGTACTCCTGGATCCCCGTAACTTGGCATTTGTGGTCTTCATAAAGAATGATTTTTCCATCTTGCATTTTCTGAGTTGGCTAATTCCTCGTAAAGTGTTTGCATGCCCCCCTGCACCCTCCCCTTATTCATTTTTTTTTTAATTTTAGCAGAATTAGTGCAGTCTTTCTAAGCTTGGCTGTAAATATATTTTTTTAAGATTTACTTATTTGACAGAGAGGGAGAGCGTGCACAAGGGGGAGCGGCAGGCAGAGGGAGAGGGAGAGGGAGAACCAGCCTCCCTGCTCTCAGAAGGGAGCCTGACTCAGGACTCGATCCTGGGGTCCCGGGATCATGACCTAAGCCAAAGGCAGGCACTTAACCGACTGAGCTATCCAGGCGCCTCTTGCCTATAAATTTTTTCAAAACTAAATGGACTCAGGCATTTACTTCAGTTTTTAATACCGACTTGAGACCCTGTTCCCAAAGGACTTTACTTTTTTTTGTTTTGTTTTGACTCAAATCATATCGAAGGAGGAGGCTCAAAAACAAGGAAGAAAACACAAAACTCTTAATCCGTTGCCACACTGAATTCGCAATCTCATTTCTAAGTGGTACCGGCTGTCCTCTTTGTAAGTCAGAAAAATAAACTAAGGTAGCAGTTTGGGAGCCGTTTGGAGAGGATGAGGTAGGAGAGATGCTGTCATGTTATAAGTGACTCGTCTGGGGTCGTGTTAGTGACCTTTCTAAGGCAGGGTGTGTGTTCTCAAGGCACTCTGCGGGAGACAGTGCAGTGATGACGCTGGGAGTGGAAGCTTGGTACGCAGAGGTTATCCACTATCTGGGCCTCCTCACCGGCCCCTAGGATGACTGGGGTTGCCGACCGTTGTCTCCCCTGCGAAGCTGCAGCTTTACTTGACTGTCGAGCGGGCAGAGAGTAGAGTAGCCAGGCCTGTGAGCTGGTGAGATTGCGGGGACCAAGCACAGACCTGATATATTGCCCGTTAGGATATGGATTAGACAGGCTTTCTGGTGGGTGGTTTCGCAGCGTGTTTTAGGAGGCGTATCTTGACGCACAGTGTTCGTTTCTGGGATCCCAGATACTCAGCAAAGGGAAATTACGTGAATGGGAGACCATCCGCCGTGTAAAGTACTGCCGTTCCCAGTGCCGTCAGCACTTGCTGACACGGAAGGTGCCCCACAGGGTCCAGCTGCACGCAGTGCATACAAGCAGTCAGAGAACCGTGTATGTCCTATTCCTCCAGGTGTTTTTAAAAGATTTATGTATTTCTTAGAGCAAGTGAGGGTGGGGTGTGTGGCAGAGCATGAGAGAGAATCCTGAACCAGACTCCCTACTGAGTGGAGAGCCCCACACGGGGCTCAATCCCAGGACCCTGAGACCACAACCTCAGACAAAAGTCAACAGTCAGCCTCCGAACTGCCTGAGGCACCCAGGCGCTGCCCGTTCCTACAGTTTTAATTTTTAAAAATATCGTGGTACGATACACATAGCATAAAACTTACCATCTTAACCATTTTTTTAAGTGTAACTTAAAGTAGCATATTACTTCTATACCAATAAGAACCGTTGAGCTTGCTGCATTTTTAAAGAGGAGGAACCTTTTTTGGTTCTGTGTGCCTGTGTTCCTAGAAGTCAGCAGGAGGTCTGGTCCCCAAAAAACCGTCAGATGTGGCATCATGTTCTGTTCCAGGCCAAGCCCCAATGGGTGTTTATGTATTTACTCTGTGATCAAGACAGAAAGAATGACCCTGGAAAGGGTGGGCATTTGCATGCTGGCTACAGTAGTCTCTAAGGCTAAGTTTTTATTCTTCATTTATTTAGTTCTTTTTTTAAGATTTAATTTATTTATTTGCGAGAGAGCGACAGTGAGAGAGATCACAGAGGGAGAAGCAGGCTCCCTGCTGAGCAGGGAGCCCCATGTGTGGGACTCGATCCCAGGACCCTGGGATCACGACCTGAGCCAAAGGCAGACGCTTCAACAACTGAGCCACCCAGGCTCTTATTTATTTATTTGAGAAAGAGAGCACGAGAGGGGAGAGGAGCAGAGGGAGAAGCAGACTAACCACTGAGCAGGGCATAGGGCTCAATGTCAGGACCCCGACCCGAGGTCATGACCTGAGCCGGAGGCAGATGCTGAACCAACTGAGCCCCCCAGGTGCCCATATCCAGTTTTGTTTAAATCAGGGCTGCACAGAATAATTATCTGGTTTAGATGGGAATTCATGGTTTAAACAATATGCATATAACAAGATATAAAAGCAAACCAAGCACTGTGTTCGCTTTTATTTTTTTTGCAAACATACTTTTATTTATGTTGGGTTTTTTTAATGTATTTGACACATAACACTGTGTCAGTTTGAAAACAGGTATTGTGGAATTTTTAAAAATAACTTTTTGGATTTTTTTTAAAGATTTTATTTATTTGAGAGAGAGTATGAGTGAGCAGGGCACAGCAGAGGAAAAGGGAGAAGCAGACTCCCTCCCCACTGAGCAACGGAGCCCTATTGAGGTCGCCATCCCAGGACCCTGAGATCATGACCTGAGCTGGAGGCAGATGCTTATCCGACTGAGCCCCACAAGCGTCCCTGGATTCATTTGTAATTCTCTACGTGGGTATTACTTTTGCTTAGTAGAAAAAAATGTGAAATGGTGTTTGTTTGTTTTTAAGATTTTATATATTTATTTGACAGACACAACAAGAAAAGGAGCACAAGCAGGGGAGCAGTGGCAAAAGGAGAGAGAAAAGCAGACTCCCCGCAGAGTTAAGGAGCCCAAAGTGGGGCTCGATCCCAGGACCCTGGGATCATGACCTGAGCCGAAGGCCGGTGCTTAACTGACTGAGCCACCCAGGCGCCCCTGGATTAATTTTTAATACTCTATGTGCATATTACTTTTACCTAATAGAAAAAAGTGTGAAATGGTGTTTTGTTGAGAAACATGAATGAAATTTTCTCAATTTCTAAATTTTAAAATTTTCTAATTTTAAAATTTTCTAAATTTTCTAAGGGGCAGTGAAACCTCACACTGAGTTTCTAGATTTTCCTTATTACAGAGGCCTCAATGTACTTTTAAAAATAATTTCTCTGGGGTGCCTGGGTGGCTCAATTGTTCAGTGTCTGCCTTCGGCTCAGGTCATGATCCCAGGGTCCTGGGATCAAACCCCACATTGGGCTCCCTGCTCAGTGGGGAGTCTGCCTCTCTTTCTCCCACTCCCCCTGCTTGTGTTCCCTCTTTCACTGTGTCTCTGCCAAATAAATAAAATCTTAAAAAAAATAAAAATAATAAAAATAATTTCTCTGAAATGGGTAACATGTATTCTCTAAAATTAAATCTGTGCCTAAACCCCGCCATTCTCCTCTTCGCCTGTCCGCGGGCAGCCGCCGATCACGCATCTGTCCCACACATCCGTTAGCCTTGTCTAGCATTCAATGTAGCGCTCCAAAATAGATCGTGTGCTGTTCAAAAAAACAAAAAAGGAAAAAAAAGTGGCCAGTTTATAAAAAGGCGCCCTGTAAATTATTCCTAGACCAAACCCCAAACACGCAAGTGCCCTGTGTCGCCCTCCCCAGGAGTGTGGCCGAATGACCAGTGAGCTTGTCCGGCCTTTGTTTGACTTCATTCTGCTACTACCTGCCGCTTCCCTAGGTGCCCTGAGAAAGGGCGGCATTTGTGATAAAGACCGAGAGTGGCCAGCACGGGTTTGGTGCTTCTGGGAGGTTACGGGGACAGGAGTATGAACCTCCATGTCAAATCCTGACCCAGAGTTTTAGGGGTTTTTTTTGTTTTGTTTTGGTGTTAAGTAGGGTCCACACCCACATGGAGCCCAACGTGGGGCTTGAACTCGGGACCCGGAGCTCAAGACTCTGACGCTGAACCAATGGAGCCATCCAGGCCTTTTTTTTTTTTTTTTTTTTTTTTTTAAAGAGTTATTTATTTGCGTGGGACGGGCAGGGGGAGAGGGAGAGCGGCATCCCAAGCAGACTCAGAGCCCGACGCGGGGTTTGATGCCACAGCCCGAGGACCACGACCTGAGCAGAAACCGCGAGTCGGACGCCCAGGCGCCTGCGTCCCCCGGGCGCCCCGCTGCTGGCTCTCTTTTCCTCCTCGGTTGGCTTTATTTCAGTGTGTGAGCCGATCAGGGGACCCGGCAGCCAGGAAGGCATCGCCGTGGGCCAGTGGGACAGAGCGGTGGCATCCAGTTTCAGGGGGCACGGGTGGCACTGATGGGAAGCCGGGGTTGGGGCGGTGTCGCGTTGGAGCCGGA